AGACTCCCGTACGGCTCATTTTTATCATTCCTGACACATTTAACGTTTTTGTATTTTTATTTAGATCTCACTCACGTCGTGCTGATTGTTTGCAACCTCTGAATTTGTTCAGAACGAGCATCATTTTATACATTTACTTGCATCCAGATTGGTTTGGTATTTTTGAAAACATTGATTTTAAATTTTTGAGCGCATGAGCAATAGACAATTTAATGGCACGTAATTCTGGAGGATTCCTCTTGGTCACCACGTTTAGCCATCCTGAATTACATCTGTCTGTCTATCTATCCCAAAAATTGAACAAAAAGTTACAAAAAATGTTACAAAATCTTCTTAAAACAGTGACAGTTTCTCAGGTTTAAGGTTGTCTCTGCTCTAAAAGGCTGAGGCTGATGCAAGTTGGATTAGACGTGCTAAAGAAGGGACAGCTGTAGATTTTGTACTGACCTGGTCCTTCATGATTGACTCTGTTGAAGGCATATATACAGTGTAACCAGTACCATGTCAAGCCATCCATGTTTAATGAGCGCAGTGAACTAATTATGCCTTTACTAATCCACATCTCCATTTAGAGCTCGACTAATGCAATTAAAACAGCATCAGGAACAGAACAGCACGTTACACTGAACTACTTTTCTAATCGTGCTTCTGTCATGTTTCATAAGATACTGTTCACGAATGCTTACACTGATCAGGCATAACATTATGACCACCTCCTTGTTTCTACACTCATTGTCCATTTTATCAGCTCCACTTACTATATAGGTGCACTTTGTAGTTCTATAGTTACAGACTGTAGTCCATCTGTCTCTCTGCATACTTTGTTAGCCCCCTTTTACCCTGTTCTTCAGTGGTCAGGACCCCCATGGACCCTCACAGAGCAGGTACTATTTGGGTGGGGGATCATTCTCAGCACTGCAGTAACACTGACGTGGTGGTGGTGTGTTAGTGTGTGTTGCGCTGGTCTGAGTGGATCAGACACAGCAGTGCTGCTGGAGTTTTTAAACACCTCAGTGTCACTGCTGGACTGAGAATAGTCCACCAACCAGAAATATCCAGCCAACAGCGTCCTGTGGGCAGCGTCCTGTGACCACTGATGAAGGACTAGAGGATGACCAACACAAACTGTGCAGCAGCAGATGAGCTATCGTCTCTGACTTCACATCTACAAGGTGGACTGACAAGGTAGGGAGTGTCTAATAGAGTGGACAGTGAGTGGACACAGTGTTTAAAAACTCCAGCAGCACTGCTGTGTCTGATCTACTCGCTGAGAATGATCCACCACCCAAATAGTATCTGCTCTGTGAGGGTCCATGGGGGTCCTGACCACTGAAGAACAGGGTAAAAGGGGGCTAACAAAGTATGCAGAGAGACAGATGGACTACAGTCTGTAACTGTAGAACTACAAAGTGCACCTATACAGTAAGTGGAGCTGATAAAATGGACAATGAGTGTAGAAACAAGGAGGTGGTCATAATGTTATGCCTGATCGATGGATGTTGTCATTTTTTATCATAAGTCAGATGATCAAATGTAACGATCGCACATGCAAACTTGTGAGATGAATCCATGTTAAATTTAATCCTAATTCAGTGAGCTCGTTTACTCTTGCAGGGTTTGTCCTTTTGTAAATGTCCCATTGTAGAAGGTATCTGCAAAACTCCACTATACACAATGCTTTACTGCATATGAACAGATCAAGTGAAAAGTTACTGCTTGCTATGGCATCATAATGTAGTCGTAGTTTTGACAAGCATGATCATTATTCCATCATGCTCTGGCCTTTGGGAACTGCTCTATACAGTAGCCTTCAGCTAATGTGCAATGCTACCCTACTGTTGATTATGCTGTTCTAGAAGCTGTTGAAGCTTAACATGAAGATAATACAATAAGCATATTCTGTTTTCTGGGATCCCTACAGAACCATTAACGTTTGGAGAACAATCAAATTTCCCCTAAACGTAGTCAGTCAGCCCAGACATGCTTGGTGTCTGAAGTTTGCTTCTACAGTGGAGCTACAAGGCTAATGTAGATTGGGATAGCGCTAACTTCAAGCCTATGGGTCATTCTGCAGATGCAAAATGTCACTGGTGTTACCTTTCTTATGTGTAACACCAATGAGGATTGGTAACACCAGAGACAGTTTTAGTGAAAAATGCATTTAAAAAAATACCTGCTACAGACCATCAAACCACATGTTGTCAATCATGGAATATCCACTAAAATATGTAATTTAATCCATTTGTATTCTATTTTTTCACAATTGCCTCAGAATAAAGTCGGTCACACCAGTGACTTCAGCTAAAAGCTTCATATGAAATCACGAGCTAAATGAGAAAATCTCTGATAACTGAAAGACACAGTGGACTCACCATGTGCTTTTCTTCATAGATCCTCAGAAAACAGGTAAAAGGAAGTCGAGTGATATCATCAGTGTGACTTTTATTTCAAAATAAGAGTTTTTTGTTACACGGTAACACCAGTGACACGACTCCTGGAGATAGCAACTTTCATTATATATTTAATAATATTTATTTGGAATTTGTTTTCTTTATGTCATTTAAATCATATATTTCATAGTCATGTATAGATTATTGTAGTTGAAATTGCAGAAAAAAATGTTTTTTACCTGAAAATATGGCCTCAGCCTTCACACATGATCGTGAGGACGAGCTCTTCTGTGGTGCCTGGAATCCTAGATAATTGATTTAAAAAACCAATATTGCAAAATTGAGGCTCAAGAAGGTGTAACTGTTAATATAACATTGTTTTATTTTAAATTTTATATTGTAACCCAAACATGTTTTTTAAGTGTAATATATTAAGTTCAATAATCTCTGATAGACTTGATTATGTGGTTTCTGACACTGTATGGTAAACAGCTATCTATAAATATGGACTTACGTGCATTAGCTGAGCTAATAACAGTATTAGCATGCCTCTCACTTTTTAATGGAGGAATGTGATCACGATTTGGAGTAATGGTGAACGACGGAGCACGGGATGGTTCCTAAACATTATGTCCACGGTGCCTCATGGAGAAAACCATAGCACGGCAGTAACAATGGGATCGGGTTCCATTCATGTTAGGAAATATATGTTCAATTCTTGGAGATCTATACATTCAGAGCAGTTTGGAGTGAAATGATTCATTTTAGAGAGTCAGATTTCTTTACAATGGTGGTGATAGGAACCTGGGGTCGCCATGACTACAACACAAATATAGCTATTTTATTTACTATCCAGAACCACCAGTGAACCTACACGAGCCTTCTGGGGTTTTATACGGAGTGTTGATTATGGTCAAATAGAGGAAAATCTGAAAAAGTTAGTTTTCCTTCGGGACTATTTTGCCTCACAACACCCTTTGTATTATGTATCCCTCCACCAGGAATGGATATCAAGGTCAAAATCTCCTCAAAACTATCATAAAACTGTCTCAGACATCAGGCAGCGTAATTATAACCATTTCATGTAATAACTTTATGTGAGGGAGCTTTTAGAGGTGGACGTCTGGTTCCTATCACCACCACTGTGAGCAATTCTGACTTAGTAAGTTTCTCTAGAACAGAGCGTTTCACACCAAATGACTCTAAACGACTCTTTTTACATCTTAACCATTTAAATCCTGCAGATATTTATTTTTTTTAATTATTAAAAGAATGTGTTTGAGCAAGAAAATGTTAAAAAGTCAAGAGTAGGGGCTCATGAATGCTTGCATATCTACCTATTATGATGTAAGTTTTATTACCAGAGAATTAAAACCAAGTTGCCTGAAGTGATTTCTTACCAATTTCCCTAATTAGGCCTGCACAATATATCGTTTCTTAATCGTAATTGCGATATAGTTTTTTGCTATGCTGAATCCTGACAGTTCCAGATGAGTTTCTGTGGGGAATTTTGATAGGTCAAAGTTGATACACGATACAAAAATATAAGAAATGTGGTCAAAATAAAGCAGGCCAGCCATTAACCATGTTACATTATGTGTTTGTAATATATTGTGAGGCATATCGCAATTAAGCAAAATAATCGCAGTCCAGAATTCTGTCCATATCGCATAGCAATAAGTTCTAGGTATGTATGAAGCACAGGCTCCAAAGTACTACATTACTATTTTGGGATGGCATGATGCTAAGTTCTGGTACAGTTCAACCAAATTACAAGTTCTAGGTACTGACTAAGTGTATTAAGTAAGTGTAGGGGTGTGATTAAAAAAAAAATCTGTGTAATTATTTTGGGTAAAATATTGTGAAGTACCAAAACAGTCTAAATAAATTACACTGAAACTTACATTTATACATTTGGCAGAGACTCTTTTTTAACGCAGCTAACAAAAGAGCATTAAGAGTCTTGCCCAAGGACTCTTAATGATATGACCTGGTGTACCTGCCTGAGCAGGGAATCGAATGGCACACCACATGAAAAACAGTGCTGTTACCCACTATGCTACACCAAACAAAAAGACTACTAGGTTCTAGCTATTAAACTGATTAAGGACAAAGTAAAATACCTCATAACTGTTTGTAGTAAGAAGGTGGTAAATACAAATACACACTAAATGTCACTGTATCATCACAAGTTTAAGCAGGACAGTAAATCAGAAACACGGCCAAGATGTGCTGTAAAATCATGACAGACAGTTTTCTGAAATAAACAGTAAAAACCCGTAGAATCACAGTAAGAATCACTGCCTTCCTTTACAGCCCAGATTCAGTGTAGTTTATAGCTAGTAAACAGGTACATACAGTATATGACTCTGTACTTTATTCATCCACAATAATTACACAGTACTGTGGAGTTTGTACTACATACTTACCCGTTTATATCTAGAACCTGCCTTAAAGAGTGCCTTGGAGTGCCTTAGCCAACTTAGGGAACTGTGAGTGTTGAGAAAACCGTAACTTGCACAAGGCAGTCTAACGGAGTGTCTTTGAGGTCTGTGATTGTGATTTGAGTCGTAACCTCACTGAATAATGTCTCTCTTTGTCTCTCTGAAGGTCAGCAATGCCCCAGACGATGAAAACAAACTCTCGGTATGAATTTTACTTTTTTTACTGCCCATAAATCTCTATATATCTGTGTATTTATCTCCTCGTTTCGCATATCAGTCCATGTCTTATCATTCTACTGCATTATACGCTCTTAGCAAAAGTGGTTCTGTATAGTACCAAAAAAGGGGTTCTTTGGCTTGTAACAATAAGGGAACCCTTTTTTTGGTGCTATATAGAACCCTTTTCAAAAACTACAATACATTCTCCATCAATCCGAAGAACACTCTCACAATGCAAAGCACCATTTAAGCATGCAAAGTTTTTTTTAAGTGTTCTATATAGAACCATTTTCTTTACTAAAGGATCCTTGAAGAACCCCTTTTTTAAGAGTGTCTGGCATACAAGGGTTCTTTGTCTCATGTAGAACCATGAACAGTCAAACAACCATTTACATGCTTAAAGGGTTCTTTGCATTGTGAAATGGTTCTTCAGATTGATGGAGAATTTGCTGTATACAGCACTTAAAACAGTTCTGCTACTGTTACAATGTCAAGCTTGTAATAATAGCAGAACCCTTTTGGTACTATAGAGAACCATTTTTAAAAAGGTTCTATATACAGCCATGAATAACATGTCCTGTAGAACCACTTCACCATGCTAGTGGTTCTTTGGGTGTTCAGGGATGTATATAGAACTACAGTTGGTACTAAAGAACCCTTGAAGGACCGTCTGTTTTAAGAGTGTAGGATGTAGAAAAAAGCAGTTAAACGTTCCTTCTCATCGGCTCTCCTGTAGGCCAAGCCCCGCCTCCAGAGAGGAGGAAGCTCCGCCTCTTTGCACAATTCGCTGATGAGAAACAGCATCTTCCAGCTGATGATTCACACACTGGATCCACTCAGTGAAGGTAAAACACAACACTGTATGGGAATGTAAGACCCCTCGGTCTCTTCCGAAGGTCCCTCATTTACCATCTTTGGTGGAAACCGTCTTTCTGAAGAGCTTATAAATTTTAAGGGTTGTGATCTTCAGGGTTCATTTTGTTTGATGGCTGGCGCTAAGTTGAAAAATCTCTATTGGAGAACTAATAACTACACAAAAATGTCTAAGCCTTATATGAGATCAGGCTAATTTTTATGTGTTCCAAGTAGGGATGTAACAATACGACACCTTGTATCGAATTGTAGTGCAGTGTACTGTATCGTATCATATTATGTCGGTAACACTTTCTATGAATGTCACCTTTGTAAGCATCTATAAACACATTTATAACATATTATAATGCATTCATATGGCATTATAAACATGATTATAAACATTTATAAAAATGAATTACACTTTATAGCCATGTTTATTATACATTATGAATTGTTAATATAATGCATTATAAGTAGTGTTGATAACATGTTATACTGTCAGTGTCAAACAAGTCAGTCTAAGCATGGAGAGTGTAAAGTAAAGACAAATACCAAGCTAACGGTGGTGTAGATTACCTTTCCCACATTGGGTAAAACACTGATGGCAGCACTAGTTTAAACTCTGACATTTGAAGCCTGTAATGTGCGTTATTGTGTATGTTTTAGTGTTCATTTATGTTTAGTGTTATAATTTGTTATGATCAGTACTTATAATGTATTATGCTAACAATTCATAATGCATAATAAACATGGCTATAATGTGTAATGCATTTTAATAAATGTTTATAGCCATATTTATAATGCCTTATGAATGCATTATAACATGTTATGAATGTGTTTATAGATGCTTACAAAGGTGACATTCATAGACAGTGTTACCATTATGTCTTTGTGTAGTGATTGGCATGTTAGCTTGTGGCTAGTGTTTCAACTTGGGGCTAACATTTTAGGTATTGGACAGAGCATTCGACTGGGACACTATAAGGTTCAGCACATCTTTTGTTTCAAATAATGTACTTTTAACTTTTGAAAGGCTCCAATAACACCTAGCATATTGAGAATTTAATCACATCCTGACCTCAGGATCGAAAATCTTAGCAAGCCTGAAAATGTATATAGTTACACCCAGGTAAGGATGGGCAATGTGACGATATTACATCATCGTGATAAATTATGTCTAAGCATATCATGGACATCGTTAGTGCTAAAAGAAACATAATTAACATAATAATAGGTTAATAATAATTAGGTTTTTAAAAGCACAGTTTGTAAAATACTGAATACATTTTGAATCATTGTAGTTGTGATTATTATTATTATTATTATTGTGTTTTTATACAGTATGTGCTCTATTTTGTCTGTTCTAACTTATTAAATCTCAAAAAATGAAATATTGTAATCATATTGTGTATCGTGACAATGTTTTGAAGTATCGTGATATGATTTTTATGCCATCTCGCCCACCCTTACACCCAGGGGTAGTGTACAAAGTGCAATGCTTCTGTACTTCAGCAAAAATACAACAGCACTTGCGTGTGAATGTGCCTGAGTTAGAGCTAAATGATTTGGGGGGAAATATGTAGTTGTGATTTTGTAATTATTTGTAATGAATAAGTTTATTTCGGTTTATCAAGATGTTTACACCCATAAAAATAAAAGAGAAAAAGAAATAATAATAGGTATCACAAGAATAAAAGGAAAAATTACAGGTGTAAAATTAATGGACACTATAATCGATACAAAAACAAGTACTGACCGAAAAGGTGTGGTCTGAAGCTACAGCTTTTTCAGAACAATATTCTGATTTAAATTCTGTTTATTTTCTATAAAATAAGGTCCAGGCCTGTTTTTGTGGCCAAGAAGACCAGAACGTCCACATATCCTGGCCTGAGCCTTGAATGCTGAACGTATTATGCCAGACTGCCAGTTAGTTGTGGTTGTGTTGTGCACCACATGTGGATGTTTGGTTGCTTCAGATTCACAGGCCAGTGTTACTGGGTTAAATGCAGGTTAATACCAGACAATGTTGCTAAAATTACAGCTTAACGTAACATTAATTTGCCACATAGCCGAGGCTGGTCACGTGAAACTGACCGGTTCCAGGGTTTTGAATGCTGCTGTGTACCCATACAAGGTAATACACCCACAGACATTATGTTGCTATGTCTGTGTTTCAGGGAGGTTCAAGGAGAAAGCTTCTATTCTGCACAAGATCGCAAGAAAAAAGGGTCAAGATGATGTCAATGGTGTGGGTGAGTTCAGTTCAGGCCATATAATATAATTGTAAATTCATCACAACACAGAAACTCAAGTGTTACATCACTTTTAAACAACGTTGTACAACGTTTTCAATGCCATTTATTCCAAAATACCTATTCAGCCATATTTAAAACTTCTTCACAATCTCGCCTACCAAAAATGGTTCTTTAGGGAACCAACAGTGGTTCTTCTATGAAACCGTTTCAGGCACCTTAAGTGTACACCTGAAGTTCTTCAAGGGTTCTTTAGTAAAAGGAACGGTTCCACATAGAACCATTTCATGCTTAAATAGTTCTTTGAGTAGTGAAATGGTTCCTTACGAAAAAGGGGTTGTACATGGTTCTATACAGCACTAAAAAGGGTTCTTCCATTGTTACAAGCCTGACATCATCACAATAGCAGAACCCTTTTTGGTGCTATTTTCAAACAGGTTCTATATAGAAGAATATACAACACATATGCAACCATTTCATCAAATTAAGAACCATTTAAGCACGAAAATGTTCTAAATGGAGCTCATAGTTCTTTATAGAACCATTCCCCTTACTGAAGAACCCGTGCATACTTGGTCAGTAAAGCAAATCTGATCCATGTTTTCTGTCTTTTTTGGTCCTGTAGTAGATAGGAACCTGCCCAACAGCACCAACGTGGAGGTGGAAGTGACTCCGCCCATGAACGGCAGTGCAGGGCAAGAGGTGAGTTCATCATCATCATCGTCGAAAGGATCAAAAATCATCAAAAATACAGAGATCAGAGCAATTATAGTCATAAACACGCCTCAGTTAACCTTTAGAAGTCAACAGGTATTCAGACACTTCCACGTCAGATTTAGACACACAGTATCTATTGACTCTGTACTTAAATATGACCAACAAAGAAAGTATTCATGAGCATAAATAAAGATTAAAGGTTTAAAAAAATGAAATTGATAGTGAAAAAAGTATTCAGACACTAAATGAAATTATACAGCAGATTCCGCATTGAAAACCTGTATTTTTCATTTCAAATCTAGAAATAAACAACAGAATTTTCTGAAATTTAGAAATTTTAAGTTGAGTAAATAAGAAAGAAAAGTTCAAAATTCTGCACTATTTCCAGGTCACAATTCAAACTGAAACGAATCTGTGATGTTACCATGTTGGGGCCTTTGTAGAAAAATTTCAGAATTTTTTATAAGTCTTATTTCTTCCATTGAAGCTCATCTTCAGATGACTCTCATGTGGATTTGATCTGTTTTTGGAGCCCAGCTTGGGTGTCATTAAAGTGGGGAGATAACAAATACTAAAAAAAATATGAAATTCATGTTAAAATTTCAAAATTTTTACTTTTTGGTCAAATTTTCATGCTTTTAATATCATTTGTAATGAAAAAGTTTGTGTTCAATTAGAAAAGAATGGAAAATAGAAGCATTTTTCTTGGACCCCACTATGTGTAGCAGTTAAAAATCAAAGCATATCAAGTTCTGCTTATTAATGCTGCAAAAATAAAAAATAAAAATATTCTCATGCAGATTTGTACCTGGTGTCATTGTAAAAATCGTCATTGCTTGGGAAGATTTTATAAGAAGCAATCATGGTGAAGCTGAAAGAGCTTCCTAAAGTTTATAGGGAGAACATTATTAACCAACACTCCAATCGAAAAAGCTAGAGCCAGAGCAAAGACCTTCAACCTGCCTTATATGGAATGTCACCTATCAAAATACACTCAGCAGTCCACATCCCAAAATATAGTCTCATACATTTGGCTTTTATTTCTGCAATTATTAGCAGAAGCTCACACTGCAAGAACGATATGAGCACCTGTGAAGACTCAGGGGCAGATTTACTAAGACAGGTGCTAATTACCAACAGTCTACCATGGTTGGAAGCCAATTTAACGGCTTCTACTAAGAACTTCTGTGCAAATGAACACAACTTCATAATGATTTTGACTTACTAACTTACTATTTTGACTTACTAACACAGGCTGAGGAAGAAGAAGAAGATGAAGATCAGCCTCTCAGCCTGGCGTGGCCGGACACGCCCCGGAAACGAGCGACGTACCTCTTCATCTTCCCCATCGTGTTTCCACTGTGGCTCACGCTGCCCGACGTCCGCAGAGAGGTACCGGACTTTACCGCAGTAACGCCACATCTTTTAATTACTTCCAATAGTGATACCAATACACCCACATTATCTAAGCCACTGATCCTCCTGGGTCGCAGTGGGTGCTGGAGCCTGTCCCAGGAAACTCCCTGGACAGGTCACCAGTCCATCACAGGGCAGATAAATACATCCACACCCAGGGGCAATTTCAAGCACCCAGAGAACGTGCAAACTTACAGAAAGGACCCTGGTTACCCGGCCGGGGAATCGAACCCAGGCCCTTCTTGCTGAGATTTCACAGTGCTACCCACTACTGACTACTGGACGATACTATTTTGATATCTTCTTTTATATTACAGAAATAAAGTGGATATTCCTTGTTCTTCTCATAGTTCTCACATTGTTCTATACTGATGAGCTACACATTAGCACAGATACACCACCTGAGCTGAGAGTCTGAGTCAGGGGTGTTTCAGTCATGTTTCAGCTGGGATTGTAAACCCAGCAGACCCTCGATCTCCTCCTGCTGTGTAGTCCACTTCATCCAAAATAGTCCACTTTGTTTTCAAGGCAGCTGACATAAAGTAACAGCGGTCTTTTGGGCTTAGCATTAGCCTAGCATGGACATAGCGTTAGCCTAGCAGCCTGTTTCCTCTTGTAGGGCCTTAGGAGCCACCTGACTCACGCAGTTCACATACGACGGCGTTTTAGGTCTGACTTTTTTTAGAGAAAAAAAAATAAAGTCATACGGTATGATATTTTGAGAAAAAAATCATACTATTTTGAAAAAAAAAGTCATAATATTTCAAGAAAAAAGTCATAAAATTTTGAGAAAAAAGTCGTAATATTTTGAGAAAAAAGTCATAATATTTTGAAAAAAAGTTGTAACATTTTGAGTAAAAAGTCGTAATATTTAGAGAAAAAAGTAATATTTAGAAAAAAAGTTGCAATATTTTGAGAAAAAAGTCGTAACATTTTGAGTAAAAAGTAATATTTAGAGAAAAAAGTCGTAATATTTAGAAAAAAAAGTTGCAATATTTTGAGAAAAAAGTCGTAACATTTTGAGTAAAAAGTAATATTTAGAGAAAAAAGTCATAATATTTAGACAAAAAAGTCGTAATATTTTGAGGAAAAAGTCGTAATATTTTGAGAAAAAAGTCGTAACATTTTGAGTAAAAAGTCGTAATATTTAGAGAAAAAAGTAATATTTAGAAAAAAAAGTTGCAATATTTTGAGAAAAAAGTCGTAACATTTTGAGTAAAAAGTAATATTTAGAGAAAAAAGTCTTAATATTTAGAAAAAAAAGTTGTAATATTTTGAGAAAAAAGTTGTAATACTTCAAGAAAAAAGTCATAGAATTATGATATTAAAGTGGCATTAATGCAGTAATGCAGCCAGGAATTCGGAACAAGCATGTCTATTGTCTCACTGATGCTAAGACTCAATACTTACGCATTGAAATGATGATGATGATGATGACGACTTAACCTTAGTCTTGAAACAAGGTGTCACAAAGGGTTCTTGGAGCAATGTCATAGAACACTTTTAGTTCCCTAAAGAACCATGTTTCAAGGGTGGTTTGCGAAGAATCTGTTCAAGATTCCAGAACCTTCATGTAAGGTAAAGGTTCTACACCCATGGTCTCCAGCTGGAACAGGTGTGGCAAACTGAGGTTGGAACTAAAGGCTCTGCAGGAAGCTAGATCTCCAGGACCAGGGTTCTGGCCGCTCCTCTACACCAGTCTAAGAGTTCCTTCCAGAACCTTTACATTACGTGGAGCAGGGGTGTTCAGTCTTATACACAAGGTCCAGTGTGGCTGGAGGAGCAGGAGCTCACCTGATCAGTCATTTGAAGACTCATGAACTGCTAAGCTCCTCCTCATTTGGAATGAAAACCATGGTTCTTCAGGAGTTCTTTAGTAAAGGGAATGGTTCTATTTAGAACCAAGAGTTCTGTATAGAACCATTTCGTGCTTGGTGAAAATGGTTTCAGTGCATGGGGAAATGGTTCTTCAGATTAATGGAGAATGTACTGTAGGTCGTTTTGTACAGAACCTTTTTGAAAATGGTTCTATATAGATATGATGGTTCTATATAGATATAATGGATCTCGTTTTGTTGACTCGTATTATTGAAAATGGAAAGTACCAAAAAGGGTTCCTCTATTGAAACAAGCTTTACATTAAAACAATGCATGCTTAAAACAGATGGTTCTTCAAGGGTTCTTTAGTACAGAAAATGGTTCTATGTAGAACCTAGAACACTCAAAGAACCCTTCGCATGATTAAAAGGTTCTCTGCATCGAGAGGTGGTTCTTGATTGATGAAGAATGTGCTGTATATGGTTCTATATAAAGATAATGGGTCTCGTTTTTGTTGACTTGTATTATTGAAAATGGAAAGTACCAAAAAGGGTTCTTCTATTGTAACAAGCCTCACATCATAATACACACTTAATATACACACAAATGGTTCCTCAATGGTTCTTTAGTAAAGAAAATGGTTCTATATAGAACCTAGAACACTTTGCATGGTTAAAGCGTTCTTTGCATCGAGGTGGTTGATGGAGAATGTGCTGTATATGGTTCTTTTTGAAAAGGGTTCTATATAGCACCAAAAAGCGTTCTGCTGTTGTCACAATTTCAACCTTCTAACACTGTAATAGCAGAACCCTTTTTTGGCGCTATATCGAACTCTTTTCAAAAAGGTTCTATATAGAACCGTCTACAACACATTCTCCATCAATCTGAGGAACCACTTCACCACGCAAAGAACCATTTAAGCATGCAGATGGTTCTATACAGGACTCATGGTTCTAAGTAGAACCATTCCCTGTATTAAAGAAACCTTAAAAGGACCTTTTTTTAGAGTGTACATCTCTCAGTGAGGCTCGTTTACAGGCTGTTCATTCATTCATATCTTCTTTCTTTCACTCAGACTTCAAAGAAGTTCTTTCCCATCACGTTTCTGGGTTCGATCTCCTGGATCGCTGCCTTCTCCTATCTGATGGTTTGGTGGGCTCACCAGGTGAGTGGTGTTCTGCCTCTCAGAAGAGGTTCTGGTGGTCTTAATCGCAGACAAATGCGAATAGTCAATCCGAATGCAACTGACACAGTCCCCAAAGTTGTGGCTCGCTATCCAGACTATCGGGATCAAATTAATATGGGGTCCTGGAGCGTTTTCCTCTTTTATGGATGATTTTATTTCCACATCTGTGGAACGACAGGCCTAATTACTGTTCATCACCAAACTCAGCGCTGCTCTAATCATTTTAGTCCTGTCCAGTTACACATTTCCATGTTTGCTTGCTTTGGAAAAAAAAGATTTCCGGCCAGTAGCCACGTTTACATGCAGCCTAATAATTCGTTAATAATCCGACTAATAGCTCAATCGGAATAGAATACGTCCATGTAAACACCTTAGTCGGAATAGACTAGTCCGATTGAGGCCATTTGGAATACAGTTGAACAAGGTGGGTAATCCTGCAAATAATCCGTTAAATAGAAGAATAACATCCTTGTAAATGCCTGTATCCGATTACATTCCCTATCGGAAAGTTTAAATACGTTCTGATCATGTTCGTCACGTCAAGTGGAAGTTTATACTGGTCAACATGGTGGAGCAGAAACGGGTCTGCAGAGGATAAAGATTTTTTTATTATGAAATTCAAGGATTTAGTTGATAAAAACACAGTTACGTGGGTTATTTTGACCTGTCACACGTCCATTCTAGTGTTTAAAAACGTTCAGCGTTTTTGACGAATGAGTGTGAACGTCGTGAATCATGAGCGGTTATAAAGGCTGTGTTGTGGTAGTCAGGACGGAGCAACATCGAGAAAAAAAACAAAAACACCAGCAACACCTGCGGGTTTCCCACAGGTAAAAACGCGACAGGGTAGACCAATGAAATAAGTCGTAGGTGGAAAACGTAAGCAACACATACTAGTTTGAAGACCAATAGAAATGTGATGATTTTAGACCAATCAAAAGAAGACGTATGTGGAGTTGAATCAGGACCGGCTCCGCCCCTTTGGATTTGTGGTTCTGCAGTGAGTGGTAGTTGGTGGGGCATGTAAACAGAGATTTTCATCAGATTGTTGAATGAGATAAACACCTCAGCCTGAATCTGTAATCAGAATGTGTTCAATCAGATTGCCCCCCAAAAAAAACACAAGGCAAGGGTCAAAACCCAACAGGGCATAACAAGAAACAACAAGGCTCAGAACTGATAGAGAAACTCTCTAACAAAACCAGGGAAATTGATTACAAAACAGCATTCAGGTGTGCAGTGATCAGTCTGGAACTGCGGTGAGAGAGACCTCTGCAGACGAGGAGGTGGACCAGGCACAGTTGTGTTGAGGTCAGCCTCACGGCTCTCGGTCAGTCGATGTCTAGGAGTGGCTAACACACCACAACAAACAGGTTAGACGCTCCAAGCCCACAGTTTTAGCGTCAACCTCACCAGAGTCTAGTAATACCTGCATAAATACTGCAATACCTAAATATCTGAGATGATTCATCAAACCTGCCTCCACATTTATGGTGAGCATTTTTCGTATCATCTAATAAGTTAAAGTTCTACCATGTATTCTTAGGCATTTGTGCTCTTTTAGCCTAAATGACCAGCAGAAGGTGTGAAAAAGTTCTAATAACGCTAAACAGAGAACTGAATACTAACATTGAGCCCTATGAATAAGTAAACTGAGCTACTTTAGGGTCACCCATTGCTAACACGGGTGTTGAACCACGCATGATGGATCATTTCTAGAAAGGTGTTGACCAATAGAATGGGATGCTCTGGAGCAGCCACTCATTGGCCTAAAGTCAAAATGCCCAATGCTAAGTGTGGGCCAGAGGGGTATAAAGCCCCCCAGCACTGGGCTGTGGAGCCGTGTAACTGTGTTCCCTGGAGTGACGAAGCTCCATCCCATACCTTGATTTATGATCTAGAACTGATCACCCGACATCAGTATCTGATCTCACTAATGCTCAATCAAATCCTCACCGCAATGTTCAAACCTTCTCGGAAGAGTAGAAGCCGTTACTGCAGCACAAGCTCACTATTAATGCCCTTAATATCCTTTCATTCCTTTCAGCACAGTCAGACTTCCACACAGGAATCTCATGCTGGGGGATGACAGTAGCTTCGATATGATGAGGTGATGAGAGAGAGAGATAACGACAGACTGATAGCAGGAGAGAGAGAAGGTGTTATGCATTGGTGGAGGTAGCTGCAGGTGAAGGCCGGTGTCTCTTCGGGCCGCGGTGCGGCTCTGAGCAGAACGATAAAAGCAGCCAAATCCCAAAGCCAATTAGCCGTTCTTTTCTGTTCCTGCTGCAGGTCCAGCCGCGCTTAAGGCCGTGACACGCCGGCTACTTTTAAAGCACCAGGGCTTCACGTAACAGGGCTGAGGGACTAACGGGGCAAAGCGCACTTGAGAAACATCAACTAAACCAACAGCAGCAATCAGATCATCAGACTGGCATCATAGTCCACCATAGTCCATAGCCCAACTCCAATCTAAAACAGCTGAAAGTTCTTTCAGGATGTGTTTATGGGTCATTCTACAGAAACGTCCATTTTTGTGTCTCTAGCGTTTACAGATATATTACAGTTCAAAAACATGTTAGGGCTACAATTTATTGATTTATTTATTTTAAAATAAAACAATAAGTTTTTTTAACAATTACACCTTATTGGTCTTTAAATCAATCATATAGAATTCCAAGCACCACAGAAGAGCTCGTCCCCACAGTCATGTGTGAAGGCTGAGGCCATATTTTGAAGAAAAAACCTGTTTTTCTGCAATTTTAAACAATAATCTATACATGACTATGAAATATATGATTTAATTAATGTAAAGAAAACAAACACCAAATAAATATTATAAAATATATAATGAAAGTCTGGTCCTCAGGAGTCGTGTCACTGGTGTTACCGCGTAACAAAAAATCTCTTATTTTGAAATAAAAATCACACTGATGACATCACCTGACTTCCTTTTACCTGTTTTCTGAGGATCTATGAAGAAAAGCACATGGTGAGTCCACTGTGTCTTTCAGTTAGCAGAGATTTTCTCATGTAGCTCATGATTTCATATGAAGCTTTTAGCTGAAGTCACTGGTGTGACCGACTTTATTCTGAGGCAATTGTGAAAAAATGGAAAACAAATGGATCAAATTCCATATTTTAGTGTCCATGACTGACAACATGTGGTTTGATGTTCTGTAGCAGGTATTTAGTAAAATGCATTGTTCATTAAAAATGTCTCTGGTGTTTCCTTTCTAATGTGTAACACCAATGAGAACCAGTAACACCAGTGACTCCTATGGAGAGACAGAAAAGTGGACGTTTCTGTAGAATGACCCAGATACGTATATTTGGGTTATCTTGGTTTCACTGCACAGACGGGTTAAATGTGGGGGGTGAAATTTCCCCATTGTGGGAAAAATAAAGGTCACTTATTACTAAAGATCACATATTTGCAACAATAGCGCAATAAGCCACAAGACTCCCTGCGTTGCAATGGTTACAGACAGCCAAGTGGCTCACTGCTTTTACAGAACTGAAAACTTTGGCACATTAATACATAATATTATCTAATATAATAACATCGTCTCCATGAACCAGAGAGGCTCTGCAGAGAGGAGACGCCGGTTCGTTCTGTCTTGAACGCCTTCGATCTGTATTGCGTTCACACTTCAAATGAACTGCAGCAGACTTCGTTTTGAACCTGCTCAGGGGGTCTCAATCTGCTTATTTGCTGCTCACCAGCGTTCAGATGGCGGCATCTCACTCCCATTAACAGAGCAATCACAAGTCAGAGACGATAGCTCATCTGCTGCTGCGCAGTTTGTATTGGTCATCCTCTAGTCCTTCATCAGTGGTCACAGGATGCTGCCCACAGGACACTGTTGGCTGGATGTTTTTGGTTCTCAGTCCAGCAGCGACTCCGAGATGTTTAAAAACTCCAGCAGCACTGCTGTGTCTGATCCACTCAGACCAGCACAACACACTCTAACACAGCACCACCACATCAGTGTTACTGCAGTGCTGAGAATGATCCCCCACCCAAACAGTACAGAACTACAGTCCGTAATTGTAGAACTACAAAGTGCTCCTATATGGTCAGTGGAGCTGATAAAATGGACAATGAGTGTGGTTTAAAGGTTATGGCTGATCAGTGTATGTAAATCTGCATTTGTATGTAAAGTCGTTCGTGAATTCCTAGCTAAAGTGAACAGTTTGTTCCACTGTTTAAGTTATTTCGCCTGAACCACCAATTCATAGGTCTTTGCTAGTATAAATTAATTGCACTGCAGCCGAAGGGAAACACCGTGGCTTTAACACCACAAACTCACAGTCAGTTAACCTGCTGCCATGGGAAGTTAACCACTACTGACACATTGCATGTGTTGAGAGTGAATTGAGCCCTGTTGTGGTTTACCCTGCAGGTCGGAGAGACTATAGGCATCACAGAGGAAATCATGGGACTGACCATCCTCGCTGCTGGAACCTCCATCCCTGACCTCATCACCTCCGTCATCGTGGCCAGAAAGGGTCTGGGGGATATGGCTGTGTCCAGCTCCGTGGGCTCCAACATCTTTGACATCACTGTGGGGTACGACATCATCATCATGTGCTGCAGGGTGTCTTTAACGTTACTGATACACATCGAGTCGTCACTCTGCCATCCTTTCTGCTGTTACCACATCTTGGTATACACGGCGAGTGTGATGGGTAAAGTGTGACGTACTTAAGCAATAGAAGACAAAGGGAGTGTGTAATCACGAAATAACATCACGGCTGTGATTTGGTCACCGTAGATCATCACAGCCGTAATGTTATAGCGATAACACATGATCTCGAGTGTTCTATTACTTTTATACAACAGTTAAATAAAGTAAGAAATAAATAAACTGGGCCGTGAACGCGGCGTTTAATATGTTTTAATGTTCGCAGTTCCTTCACCAAATTATAGTTCCTTAACAAGCAGCTTGTTTCTACATCAGAGTAACGAGCTCCGCCCGTTGGCTTCATTCGCCAAACGTGTAGTCTGATTTTCATAGTCTGACCAAATCAGACTGAGCCATAAAACTGCCGCAATATCAGGTTTAGCTCAGTTTTGTCAGTTTTTGCCAGATCAGTATTAATGTTGGTTTGTTCCAGCCAGTCTGTAAAGCGTCTTACAGCCCATTTAGTTTGGCGAATGGTGTTGGGTTCATTTCTGGCTGATTCCAGAAATTTGATTTTCAGTAACAAAATAGATACCAACAATCACAACCCCTAGAATTAATAAGCACTTAAGAAAAAAAGCCCAGTCATTTGAGTGTGGGTGTGTCTAGAGCATTGGCCCCACCCACTTCACTCTGACAGGCTGCACTCAGATGCCTTAGTTAGGATCACTGACGGTGGTTTCTACCAAAGATGGTAAATACGGACACTGAGAAGAGTTTGCGGTGCGTCACTGACACAGTTTTACATTTCACTACATTGAAACCTTTTGAAGGTGCAGTGTGTAAGATTTAGTGGCATCTAGTGGTGATGTTGCAGACTGCAACCAAATGAATCCCGCTCCCTCACCCCTCCCTTTCCAAGTGTGTAGTAGCACCTACAGTGGCCATCAGGTTTTCTGCGTTGCCTATCCTGATGTTTTTACGTCTTTAATGACAAGGATTCTCCCTCCTTCCCTTGTTCTTGTGCTAAATGATACATGTGATCCTCCATTTCTCAAAATTTGGGTTCTCAAACTTCTCACAAAAAATAGTTATCTAGCACCGGCAGCAACCACTGATTCTTCTTCTTTCTGTTTCATCCAACTGGTGCTACAGTGCCACCAAACTCAAGCTGCCACTACAGCGTGAAAATGTGAATGTCGCCCTCTAGAGCCAGTGTTTGGTTTGTTCATTCTAGACTACTGTAGAAACATGGCGAAGCAACATGGCGGCCTTTGTTGGAAGAGGATCCGCTCCCTATGTAGTATGAAGGGTTCTTTATCTAAGTACAAAAACACAATGATTTGTAGTTACAGGTGATTATACACTAATAAAAGCATGGTTTTATATATTATATTCCATTTTGGCTAATAGATTCCAATAAATCTTACACACTGCTCCTTAAAGGAGTTTTACATATCGCTGCTGTCAGAAGAAACCTTGTATCTCCATTTTTGACGTTTTTCAGTTTTTGGCAGAATTTGAAAATGCTTGTTGTCCTTTACATTTCATGATGAATGGACCAAAAGAAATGGCCCAAAATGACTTGGAAAAAATTCTGGTTCCATTGACTTACATTAAAAGTAAAGTATGTTTTTTCCTTCTCCTGTAAAGTTACCATTTTGGAGATATGAGGTTTTGTTCCAGCAGCAGCGATATTCTGGTAATTTTCACACTAAACAGGCTTGTTTGTTTATTTGTCCTCAGTTTGCCGTTTCCATGGCTCCTGTACTCCATTGCGCACAACCTGAAGCCGGTGACGGTAAGCAGTAACGGCCTCTTCTGCGCCATCGTGCTGCTCTTCCTCATGCTCCTCTTCGTCATCATCTCCATCGCCGTGTGCAAGTGGAGGATGAGCAAGCTGCTGGGCTTCTTCATGTTCATGCTCTACTTCGTCTTCCTGGTGGTCAGCGTCATGCTGGAGGACAAGGTCATCACTTGCCCCGTCTCGATCTGAGAGATTCGACTGGCGCCCCCTCGTGGAACCACGCTGCAGCGCACATTACAAAGCCACAGTAACCATACGGAACCCCCTGGAGAACCTGAGAATGAGAAGGACGATGCTTTGACATAAAAAAAAAAAAAACTTCTCCCACGAAGGAACTGTGTTTGTTTTATTTCTACTGATATTTTGTTCGTTTTTCATGGGACAGTAGAGACCCATGCAACATGCACTGCCCATAGCTTGATGTGGGGTAAGAATCCGTGCACTAGATTTAGGCTGTTACAATTTGTGGGACGGACACAGGCTGGACACAGAATGGACACAGGAAACGGGAGACGCCGCACCCAAGGAAGGAGCTGGACACATGGCATCTCTCTCCGAAGACTCAGGGAAACAGCAGAGAAAAAAACAATAATGCTATTAACCACCCGGCCACGTTCAGCACTTGAACTTTACGCTATTACGTTAATGGAGTTAACAAGCCTTGTGTTAGACATTGAACGTGAAAACCGACGATAAGGGTGGGAGACGAAGCAATCGTGTTCGCTTCGTCTGCAAACGAGTCAGGGATGAATGTTTCGTTTCTGTGTATACCATATCATTTTAACATGGCAGATTTAGTGCCATTTAGCGCTAGCGTTCAGACTTCTAGAGCTTCCGCTAACCGAACCAACTCGCGGATTTGTTGCAGAAAAATATTCTTTGAATATCTATAATATAATTGAACAAAGTTTATTCTTTGTGATTAACTGTGCAACATTTTATATGTTGTTTTCTTTGGAATATCTGTAAACCTGGTCGTCATTTGTAACGTCGAATCAAAGAAGGGCAAAGGTTTGAGGAGTGGGCTGTCCGTCTCCGATCTCTTTAAAAGAATAGCTCGGTGAAAAATCTAATCTAAACAGTTTTACCCCCTTTACTACGAGCGCAATCGATCAGCCAAGACATGTTTGGTGCTTCTTTGGAGGCTAATGTTGCTAAGAAATAATGGAATTAGCCTATTAACCCTAAACCTAAATCATCACACGCTGGTCTCAGAGCATGTGGGGGTGCTCAGTGATCTCTAATAGACTTGATTATGAGGTTTCTGACACAGTTTGACTCACTGTTGCCTATAAATGTGGACCAAAGTACGTTAGCGTAATGCTAAAAACAGTAGTAAGCAGCTTGCAGTGGGAATTTCTACAGGCCTGACGATACAATATGATCACCAGATTTCAGCCATGATATGGTTTTATTTTTAAAAGTATATCTAAAAGTATTGTGCTATGAAAATATTATGATATATTGGCAGTTTATGACATTTGACTGCAAATTAGAAAACTGTTATATCTAATGAAGTTTACACCTCAGTCTTTTTGCTGGAGCAAAAGCAGACATAACATTCAAAAACTCTGTCCTTACATTTACAGGGGCTTTTATTTGTGACGTAGCTAAACAGCCTTTAAAACAAGCTTTATACTTAGATATTTAACATTTTTTTTCCAGAACAATCCATGACGGCAGGTCAATGAAATGTTGGGAGTCTCACCAAGTGACTTTTATAGGTATATTATAGTGGAGCTTTCGATTCTAGACTGAATGGTGAGATCAGACTTGGCTTGGGCGATATCTAAAAATAATTAGCATGATATTTATCTAGGTAAAAATCGTGAAGATTGATTGTATCGCCCGCCCCATATGATATATAATATAGTACTAACCCAAACATTTTGTCGTTTTTTAAGAGATGTCACTGCAAACATGCATTCATGAGCTCCTTCTGGTAAAGGTTCACACTGACTTGTGTGCTAACAGCAAGTCACCATGAGGCTGGAGAACCTTCAGACTGCAATCCACACCTTTTAATCTGCTTTTCTCATTTAATAACATGTTTGATCCCAAAAATATTGCAATGTTATATGGTATATGTATATATACTCCAGCCTGAAAAACTAAAGAAGCAAACTTTAGACACCAAACACCAAGATAGCAAACTTTGACTGGAGTAATGTTGATTTGATGTTGGGCAACACTGTTAAATATGCATTGATTTCAATTGATTTGGTTGTATTGGCCACTGATTCAATGATTCAGTGATTGGAAAATCAACCATATTGAGCAGTGACTACAAATCAATGCTAAATCTCCACAACAGAGATCTACACTGATTCCATGGTTCTGTCCAGCATCAAACCAACATTGCTTGAATCAAAGTTTGTTATCTGGGATGTCTTGGCTGAACTACAGTTGGCCTAAGTGGGCAAACCAGGTAAATCTGGTTTTCCTCCAAACTATTCCTTTAAAGCTTTCGAAGACTGGGTTACTACACACAAAACTAAGGCTCTGAGTTGGCTCTAAGGCTCCAATCACATTTAAAAATACCGAATATGCCCTGAATGTGTGAAACCTGATTGGACGGTGAACGTAAACACAGCCTTAGTTAGCTTCTAATATCTAATCTCTCTCTTTTTCTCAGGCACGCTCTCCTTATTCTCATGCAACAACGATGATAAAGAGTTTTTTATATATATACATTAGGTGCATCTTCATCTTCATCATCATCATGATCTACTGTATCTAGGGTATTTAACTACATCAGTTACTCACTGTATTGTTCCTGGGACTGCTGAACTGGACTGTAGGAAGCTGGCGTGAATAGGCCCCTGCTGTATTTCACCTGTACAGCCTGCACGTAGAAGATGTTAATGGATTTATGTGGATCACAGTTTCCTGACGGTGCTCTTAGCGTTGCTACACCACCTCTGCAGTCCGACGTTATGCTTAGATAAGAAAGCTCCTGTATCTATCCATCTCAAAGTGTTGTATATGAACACTGACAGAAATAAAAATTGACTTTTAAACCTGACTGTCCAAGGAGTTTTAATGTGACACTATTAGCATAGTTTGAGTTTTGTGACAACTATGAACATTTCCTTAAGTATTGTGATATGATATTTTAGATTAAGATTAAGTGACCCTCATTAGTCCCACAACTGGGATATTTCACCTCCGCATTTAACCCATCTTTGCAGTGAAACACCACATACACACTAGTGAACACAGACACTAAGTGAGCACACTTGCCCCGAGTGGTGGGCAGCCCTATCCACAGCACCCAGGGAGCAGTTGGGGGTTAGGTGTCTTGATCAAACTTGCTCAAACTCGATCACGTACTGTCAGCTCAGGGGATCAAATAGGCGACCTTCCGGTCTCAAGGCTGGTTTCCTAACCCTGACACTAGTGACGCACACACCTAGGGGGCAGTGAGCACACTTGCCCGGAGTGGTGGGCAGCCCCATCCACAGCACCCAGGCAGCAGTTGGGGGTTAGGTGCCTTGCTCAAGGGCACTTCAGTTGGCTCAGGGGATCGAACCAGTGACCTTCCGGTGACAGGGCTGGTTCCCTAACCTCCAGCCCACGACTGCCCCCATATTTTGTCCATATTGCCCAGCCCCACCCTCGTCAAATAACATGTTTTGTTGATTTTCTGAATGAACGTACTCTACAGTAAAACACACTTAATTATGGCATTTTTCAGCGGTTTTTAAGGCTTAATTTCTATTTATTTGCTGAGTTTCCAAAAAAAGTCGTACTATTTTCAGAAAAATAGTTGTGATATTTCGAGAAAAAAGTCATAATTTTCGAGAAAAAAGTTGTAATATTTCGAGAAAAAGGTCGTAATATTTTGAGAAAAAAGTTATAGAATTATGACATTAAAGGTCGCAATATTGTGGCCAAAGGCTTTGCGAAGGGAAGCAGCCCCTCCTGGTGTTAAATGAGGGGCGGTGAGTTGGTGGAGTTACTACTTTCATATCGATTCACCCATAAAGAAACACTCAGTCTCCCTGTCTCTCCTGCACATCAGCACCAGCCTGTTATAGTATAAGACCAGCTGAGCAGGAAACTGAGTTTATCTAGAATAAAGAGCCGGACGGACTCGGAGGAAACTGAGTTTATCTAGAATAAAGAGCCGGACGGACTCTGAGGAAACCGTGTTTATCTAGAATAAAGAGCCGGACGGACTCGGAGGAAACCGTGTTTATCTAGAATAAAGAGCCGGACGGACTCTGAGGAAACCGTGTTTATCTAGAATAAAGAGCCAGACGGACTCGGAGGAAACTGAGTTTATCTAGAATAAAGAGCCGGACGGACTCTGAGGAAACCGTGTTTATCTAGAATAAAGAGCCGGACGGACTCGGAGGAAACCGTGTTTATCTAGAATAAAGAGCCGGACGGACTCTGAGGAAACCGTGTTTATCTAGAATAAAGAGCCGGACGGACTCTGAGGAAACCGTGTTTATCTAGAATAAAGAGCCAGACGGACTCGGAGGAAACTGAGTTTAAAACCGTGTTTATCTAGAATAAAGAGCCAGACGGACTCGGAGGAAACGGTGTTTATCTAGAATAAAGAGCCAGACGGACTCGGAGGAAACTGTGTTTATCTAGAATAAAGAGCCAGACGGACTCGGAGGAAACCGTGTTTATCTAGAATAAAGAGCCAGACGGACTCGGAGGAAACCGTGTTTATCTAGAATAAAGAGAAAGACGGACTCTGAGGAAACCGTGTTTATCTAGAATAAAGAGCCAGACGGACTCGGAGGAAACTGAGTTTATCTAGAATAAAGAGCCAGACGGACTCTGAGGAAACCGTGTTTATCTAGAATAAAGAGCCAGACGGACTCGGAGGAAACTGAGTTTATCTAGAATAAAGAGCCAGGCGGACTCGGAGGAAACCGAGTTTATCTAGAATAAAGAGCCAGACGGACTCGGAGGAAACTGAGTTTATCTAGAATAAAGAGCCAGGCGGACTCGGAGGAAACCGAGTTTATCTAGAATAAAGAGCCAGACGGACTCGGAGGAAACTGTGTTTATCTAGAATAAAGAGCCAGACGGACTCGGAGGAAACTGTCTGTCTGTGTTGTTGAAGGAGAATCTCAGGCAGGGTCGTCTACACGGCTATCGGGGGCTACATCTCCCCCCATTCAAAGAGGGCACGAAGTTTCACAGACAGTGAGAATGATGATCAAAATGATCCACAGAGAGACAGGAGTGAGTGGAGCTCCGGCGCCAGTACAGCAACCGAGACCCCAACACGTTATGGCAGCCCCCCTACAGTTAGCCCCCGTACAGTTAGCCCCCCTACAGTTAGCCCACTTTATCCTCCAAATATTAGGACTTTATTCTTGAAATAGTACGACTTTATTCTCAAAGTCTACTATTTTTATTTTTATTAACAGTGGCCCTAAAACGCCGTCTTAAGAGACAGAGCTGACAGAAATAGATTATTTTGATGACGTGTTTACGTTTCAGCTGTGCGCGCATGGTCGGTTGCTAGGAAACAGACATGACAGGTGATTGCCGGCTTCGATGGAGTAAGTTAAGATCAGAGAACTCCTAGAGAGGAGAATGACCACTAAAGTCTTCCGGGTTACTTGAACACTAGAGGGCGCTCCCAAGCAAGACCAAAATGAATGGGTTGATTTGGAGCATTTGAGCAAAATCATAGTTTATAAATGCTGAAACATTTTTAATGTAAAAGAATACAATCAGTTCCTGAACACAGAACAGCATGAACAGATTAACACTGCTGTTATAATTTTAAGAGCTTTTAAACTCGAGTTTAAAACGGTGCCTCATGTACATTCATGACGTCAGTGAGCGCGAACAGCCAATTAGCTGCTCCACTCGCCAACCAATCAGCACTCACTAGCAGTAATGCCAGCATTCTGCTGCCCAAAACCCAAAACTGTTGTATGAAAAAATCATCAGCAACATGGAATCCGACCAGGGTGCACACTCGTTTTGTTTACTGTTTGCTGCTCACAGACAGAGCTGGAGTTACATATTGTGATCAGAAAAAAATTACTCAGTTTTTGGCCAGTTTTCGTCAACTCCACTGTTATATAGGAGCACTTTGTAGTTCTACAGTTACAGACTGTAGTCCATCTGTTTCTCTGCATACTTTGTTAGCCCCCTTTTACCCTGTTCTTCAGTGTTCAGGACCCCCATGGACCCTCTTGTGCTGGTACGAGTGGATCAGACACAGCACTGCAACACACACTAACACACCACCACCACTGCAGTGCTGAGAATGATCCACCACCCAAATAGTACCTGCTCTGTGAGGGTCCATGGGGGTCCTGACCACTGAAGAACAGGGTAAAAGGGGGCTAACAAAGTATGCAGAGAAACAGATGGACTACAGTCTGTAACTGTAGAACTACAAAGTGCACCTATATAGTAAGTGGAGCTGATAAAATGGACAATGAGCGTAGAAACAAGGAGGTGCTCATAATGTTATGCCTGATTGGTGAACATGTCGCTGCTGTCAGATCAAAACCTCGTATCTCCCAAAATGGTAACTTTACAGGAGAAGGAAAAAACATACTTTACGTTTAATGTAAGTCAATGGAACCAGACATCTTTTCAAGTCATTTTGGGTCGTTTGTTTTGGTCTGTTCTTCACGAAATTTACACACAACGTAAAGAACAACAAGCTTTTTCAAATTTCGTCAAAAGCTGAAAAACAGCAGCGATAAATACAAACGCTTCTAAATAAAATACGATATGTGGACGAAAGCTTTAATTAATCATTTTACACTTTAAGGAAACAAAGATGAATTAAAGGACATGAACATTTTAAAACAGCTTTGTTTTCCTCCATTTTCGGTGCTGTTTTTTTTTCTTCGTGTCATTGGTGCGCAGAGAATTGTGGGTAACCGAAGGCCTGGAAGGGCACATCTGATGCCCCCTCGAAATGACTCTGAACATAGGCTGCCTTTCTAGGCTGCGTACGAAGGGTCCTTCACTCTGGAACGGCCTTCTGTGACTTAGCGGCCGAGAAAAGAGCTTTAGAACGCAGGGAGTGTTTTAGTCTGTGGGCGGAGCCTCGTTTAGCCACGCCCTTGTATTTTAGAGCAGGAGGTGAGGCTGCATTCCTGTCCCTCATGGCCACATGGTGAGCAGTTAGATCCCAGTGTTTTGAAGTAAATGAGTCCCAAAGTCTGAACATCAGTGTGGAACACTGAGAATATTAATATTAAATATTAGCATATTTTCTGCAGTTCAGCGCTTTTTTCCTGTTTTAATGAAATAAAAATGATTTTGTGTTTAAACTGTTCAAAGCTGTGTTTGATAGTCACGTACTGGCTAGCGAAAACAGCCACTTCTGAAACGTTCAGTAAAGTTTCAGTTCAGTTCTGACTGTGTTTGTAGTGACAAAATGGAATGTTTAATTATTAATTTTAATAAAATAATCATAATTAAGTTTCAGGGTCACTCAGGGTGAAAGGGTCTCAGTCTGAGGTCCAGGTCAGTTAAAATCCCAAATGTGTTTTCGGCTCTGAACTTTGAACGCCTTCACGCGTTTGTGCAAATGTTTTGGCGCCTCTAATTAACACAAAACCCTGGCTGTGCAAAAGTTAAGGCACATTTTTCTTCAAACATTTTTAACCTCTTCAACTGTTCCAAAACACACTTCGTCATATTCTTCATAACTTTCATATTTCATAAGCTACATTCCAAAGGTGGGGGTCATATGAGAGCTGTAACTGTCTTCTTTCCAGTCAAATAGATGGGTGATGTCATTTTAAACCCTTATAATAAAAGAAGCTGAACTCACAATTTTTTTGTCTACTGAAAGTCGACCCATTTTTCCACAAATCTGGGCTATAAACTATAAACAGATGGCGTCTCTTCAGTGATCTGCTCTGTAAACATTATTTTTATAAAATAATAGCCAAAAATAAATCATTTTTGGCTTTCAGCAGTAAATTGTAAGCATTTAGCAATATGTGTCATCATAAAACACATGTTCTGTTAATTTGAGGGGAGCTTTTACCAAAAAATAAATAAATAAATAAAATAAAATTTACATTTATTTCATGCAGTTACTAAATAATTTGCCTTAAGATTTGGTCATGTAAATTCAGATGGACAAACCAAAATATACCCTGGAGAATAAGAGGTTAAAATCAGCAAACAAATAAAAATTGTGCTCAGAAATTAGCAGAAAAATGCTTGTAGAGGACGTGTTAGCTTATTTTCATGTAGAAAACCAATAAAGTGTGTCATTTAATCATTTTAACTTTTGCATATGTTGACTGTATGTTTAGAAAAATAATCTTTAAAAAACGATATATATATAGTTTTTTCACTATTATTATTATTATTATTATTATTATTATTATCATTATTGTTATTGTTATTATTATTATTATTGTTGTTGTTGTTGTTGTTATTTTTATTTTTATTTTTTTTACTCCGTAAACTATGCACTGTGTATTTATGGACGTGTTTTTTTTGTTGTTGTTGTTTTTTTTTAATTATGCATTCTCAGTCATCCAGAGTGCTCCCTGCTCCCTACCTAGTGCACTACATAGGTCGTGAAATGATGCCTTCTGCACACAAACAGAGCTTTATAAGTCTAACAAAGGGCTCAGTTTGGGATTCGGGATTGAACCATGTGTGCACGGATCCTTACTTGACGTTTAGTGCGCTGTTTGAGCACAGAAACCCTGATTTAAGGACTCACGAAGTGCACTACGTAGGGAGTAGGGAGCTATTCGAGACACAGCCTTACAGTGTAAATGACGTCCGCTCCTCCAGGGGGCCGCAGCTGAGCTTCACACCTAGAAACAAACGCACAAGGAAGAGGAAGTGGAGACGTGTTATTAAGTTTGTTTTCATCGGGTTACATCAGGATCCACCTTAAATAAGAGCTTTTAAACTCGTTTAAAGCGGCTCTGATCGTTCAGGCATCAGCGGACATGGAGGCCGAGCTGTTCCTGCTGCATCTTCTCTTCCTGCCCTTCGTCCGCTGCTGGAATAATAATGGTACAGTACAGATTAAACTATCAATCTGATCAATAATCACACTGAAACCTCATTTAGGGGCTTTGTGCCTGGATTTGATTTTGAAATGGCTCAGTTTTCGCTCATATACTAAGTTGAATTTGGCTTCTTAGTCGAATTTTCCGTTCCACCTTAAATGGTGCAGCACTTACATTGTGGCGCCTCGGGCGTTACATTAATAACTGAGCACCATTTAAGGTGGAACGGAAAATTCCACTAAGATGAGCGATTTGATGCCACATCTGTCATTTTCCAAACCCCCTTAAAAACAAACTACACTATACATAATACACTCTTAAAAAACACGGTTCTTCAAAGGTTCTTCAGTAAAGAGAATGGTTTTATTTAAAACCCCTGAGTTCTAGATAGAACCATTTCATGCTGTAATGGCTCTGTGCAGGGTGAAGTGGTCCTAAATAGCACCAAAAAAGGGTTCTTCTGTTGTAACAAGCTTGCCATCGTAATGGTAGCAGAACCTTTTTGGTGCTCTGTAGAACCATTTTCAAAAAGGTGCTAGATAGAGCCATTTCATGCTATAATGGCTCTGTGCTTTACATCTACAAGGTGGACCGACGAGGTAGGAGTGTCTAATAGAGTGGACAGTGAGTGGACACAGTGTTTAAAAACTCCAGCAGCACTGCTGTGTCTGATCCACTCGTACCAGCACAACACACACTAACACACCACCACCACGTCAGTGTCACTGCAGTGCTGAGAATGATCCACCACCCAGAGATTTCAGGTGTATGAATGGTGGTGTGTATTATAATACGTCTGTCTGTCCGTGTGTAGGTGCTGTGTTGCTGCGTGATGTTCAGGCTCTGACGCTCTACAGGGGGCGCTACACCGCCGCACGCCGCACCAGCCCCATTCCTCAGCTGCAGTGCGTCGGAGGATCCGCCGGCTGTGGCTCCTTCACGCCGGAGGTGGTCCAGTGTCAGAACAAAGGATGGGACGGGGTGGACGTGCAGGTCTGTGACAACATTTGAAGCTGAAGTTTAGCAAAATAGTCTGGTTCCCTCAGTCCTGCAACCGTGGAGTGTAACATAAACGAGTATATGTATTTATTTAGTAGTTCACAGTAGGGCTGGGCAATATAACAGCAGGCTGTTATGGTGATAAACAGTGTCACTACATAATGTTTATCACCAGTGCTTTAGAAATGACCTGCATGTTTCATCATAAAGAGAGCAAATTTAGTCCCGTTGGTACTGAATAATGATTACTGTGTTAACAGTTTTTGATAATAGATTTTTTTTTAATGTAGCACTACTGTTTCTCTTTTCTGTGTTCCAACTGATGAGCTGTCAAATAAATATTGTGACATTTTGCGTATCATGAAAGTTTCTCGAAGCATTGCGGTGTTATATTTCTGCCGTATCGCCCAACTCTGGTACACAAAAAGGAGCCCTGTACCATCACGTATGGGCGCTCGTTCTACGGACGTAGGCACAAGGCCAAAAAGTGACTCACAAGAAGGTGTAGCTCTGGTCTAGCACCGCCTAACAACCACCTAACAGCTGCCTAGCAACCAGCTGGAATACCATAGCAACCACCCAGCACACATTAGCAACAACCTGGAATGCCATAACTAGCAACAATTTGCAAAAACCACAGCAGCTGCTGTTTAAGCAACCAAACAACAACGGCGTAAACAGCCCACTGCATAAACAACCACCTAACAGCTGCCTAGCAACCAGCTGGAATACCATAGCAACCACCGAGCACACATAAGCAACAACCTGGAATACCATAACTGCTGTTTAAACAACCAAACAACAACAGCGTAAACAGCCCACTGCCTAACAACCACCTAACAGCTGCTTAGCAACCAGCTAAGATATCGGCACTCCTAGAATGTCTTTCAGCCAGTGTCTCTCTCTCTCTCTCTCTCTCTCTCTCTCTCTCTCTTTCTCTCTCTCTCCCTCTCCACAGTGGGAATGTAAGGCTGATCTGGATAACTGGTACAGGTTTGGTCGAGTGGAGGTGTCGTGTGAAGGTTTCAACAGTCCTGACGACCCGTACGTGCTGCAGGGGTCGTGCGGTCTGGAGTACACTCTGGAGCTCACAGCGGAGGGCCGGCAGAACCAAGGGTCCCGCGGCTCCTCCGGCTCGTCCGGGTTTGCCGGTTTTGCCTCCAGCTTCTTCCAAGATAAAGGCCACAGCGGCGGCGGCGGATATTATCAGCAGGGCGGTCCGTCGGGGGAAAGTGCTGGAGGTTTGATCGTTATCGCGCTCTTCCTGCTGCTCGCTTACGGCGTCTACAAGCTGTTCCTCTGCAATCCCACCCATGGCCACCAGGGTGTCCAAGGAGATGGACCTCAGGGGTTCAACGGAGCGTGGAATAATGACTACGGCAACACAGGGCCGCCTCCACCCGGGTTTAAACCTGATTATACAGGTATGGTACAGCGGGGGGAGGATCTGATTAGATCCTAGTTAGGGCTGGGCGATAAAACGATAACGATAATTATCGCGATATAACTTTTCCTCGATACGACATGTTCGATAAATGTTCGATATAATACACCATTCTCACACTTCCACGTTCAGCGAAAGCCCTGGTGGCGTTTTCTACTGCAAGGAAAGTGACACTACTCTGCTGTCGCCAAGAGAGGGCGCACTTCCGAGTCTTTCTACACGATTAGAGAGGGAGGGGGCCACGAGTAAGATGAGTCTTTAGCAACGGCTGAAACGCGGAGATATACAGTCCCTGTTTGAGTGGAGCGGCCGGCGATCTGTTCTCCTGTGACCAAGTGTGGGTGACGAGGTCAGTGGTGTAACTGTGCTGTCCTACAGCGAACTCACCTCTTTCCTAACCTCCTAACCAGCTTTAGCAGTGTTAAATCACAATCCTACAAAACTACAGCGCTGTTACAGCGCTCAGTCATAATTTAGTATGAGTGCGTTCCCAAGCAGCGAAAGTGAAAGAAAGAAGTGAGTTCATGTTCATTACAGCCCTGATTTAAACGAAAGTAAACTGAGGAAGCTGTGAGGCATTGGAGAGCAGGAGAGCGCTGTCTTTTCAGGCCAGCTGTTTTTAGCAGCTGGCTAACTTGAAGCAGCGCGCTGTCACTCACACAGCACGGAGAATTGATGATACTGTGGATCAAACAAGACACAAAAGCACCACTTTCAGTTCAAACATACCTAAAAGGAGGACTCTGTTTGTCTGGTGTTGATATTTTGCGGTTCACCACTTAAACTACTACGATAGTATAGAGAAATCCAGTCGTCGCTAGCTGGTGTCTGAATACTGTGATGTCATTTGTAACGGGGTAGCCGAGCGCTCGGCACCAGCTAAAAATAATCTGTTTCTTAAATTATGACTATTACAAAATAGCCATGCTTTTCCAGCTGGTAAAAACAGCTCATCAGACACTTTGACAGGGTGTGTGTTGTGTTCTGACCATAAAGGATAGTTTAAAACAGCAATTAACCCCCCAGGACCAAAAATCAGCCTTCAAACTTGAAAGAAATAATGATTTGACATTTGTCGCGGTATGTATCGATATCGAACGATATGAATTTTGTTTATCCTGATAACATTTTTGGCCATATCGCCCAGCTCTAATCCTCGTAACCACCTGGAATACCCTAGAAACCACGTTAGCAACTGCCTAGGAACACCCTGTTAACCACCTGACAGTACCTTAGCAACAACCTGGAATACAAGGTGTCAACTGCATAGCTACCCCCTAGCAACCACCCGGAATGCTGTAGAAATAAGCTACCGACAGTCTTTAAATTTATTTATAAACATTATTAGTCGACTTAGTCAAGCAAAGAAGAAGTTCATTAACAAACATTCCTGGTTTTGGTGATGTCACATATTTACATGTATCTCCCTCTTCGACCTACAGAAGCTGTTTCACTGTATGTTGATCACATGCAGGTTTGTGGTTTTCTATGCTAACAGCTTTTATTTCTCTTTTTTTTCCAGCTCATTCTCCAGATTACACCTCCTCTGGACCCAGTTATGGTTTTGCAGACGCGTACACCAGACCCCACGCCGCGGGGACGGGATTTACCCGCCCGTCTGGGTTAGGGGGAGGTGGATTCTGGTCTGGCATGGGCACTGGTGGACTGCTGGGGTATCTGTTTGGAAACCAGAGGTCAGTAGAGACGTAAAGTCGTTTTTACTGGAGCTGCTCCTGCGTTAGTGTGCTGATAGCCTTAACCCTGGTGTGGTGTCGATGTGTTTGTTACTCAGTGGTCTGGTGACCCACCACATTATTGTTTTATTAAATCAATACAGCCATAACAGTTTATGTAAAAATCCCAGATATTTAAAATATCACAAGTGTCCAGCGTAGGGTTCTCCTTTAGCAGCTGTAGCCAGTCAGCAGCCTGTCCATGTTGTCCACCCTCACACACACACATACAAACACATACATACACACACATACAAACACATACATACACACACACACACACACACACACACATACAAACACATACACACACAGACACACACACACACTAACAGCAGGCCATGTAGGAGGAGAACAGAGTGAAGGACACAGCACCTCCACACTTTTACTCCCCGCAGGTTCACCCAACACCACATGTGTAATATAAATGTGTGGGGGTGAACAGAGTGAAGACCCTGAAAATGGGTTATTTTATATGTTCTTCACAGAAAATGAGTAAAAGACAAGAATCTGAGGTTGAAATAATAATAAATCACATCATTTTTTCTTTTGGTGAACATTAAAAATGAGTGATATCACGTGTGATATTTACAACACATGCGATTGGTCTGCGAGTCTCCCGGCCGCTAAAGCTACCTTAAACGCTAGAAAAGCCACGCCGATGAAAACAGGACCACCCGGTCGAAATTAATAACTCTCCATAGTTTATCGGTTACAGGTCCAGGACAGCATCTGGGACCGGACTCGGACCGCGGTGCGCCCATTAGTGACCTCTGATCTAAGTCATGTTTGGTGTCTGAAGCTTGCTTCTTTAGTTTTACACTGGAGCTCTGACGCTAGTGTAGCTGAAAAGCATAGAAACTTATACCAATAAGTTTCCAATTAGCGTTGTGCTAACTGCATGTCTGAATCTTCACACCGAAGTCTAAAACTGTGAAGAGCTGTTGAGTCCGATTCTGGGCTCGTCTTGGGGGAGGGGCTCATTATCACTGGTTTGCTTTTATGCACAATCCCATTTCTTCTTTTGACCCCTACCCCTTGTTTTCGAGTGTGACCCTAACCCCTTGGAGCTGAGTTAAAAAGGGGTAGTGGTTGAAATCTTCCCTCTGAAATGGGACCCTCAAATAAAAAGAGCATTACTTCATTAACAGCTACCAGCGCTGCTCTGTAGGCGACACTGCCAGTCTGCAGTGACAGCAGAGGAGGGTAAAGTTCAGCTCCTCACTGCTGGGCTTTAGTTACATTTAGGGCATCATATGATCTTCAAAGAGGGGGGCAATTATTTATTATCACCCACCCCTAATTCTTCAGTGATATGAAGCTGAAGTCAGACATTCACCAGATTCTTGTTCTAACTTTCTCGTTCCACCTTAAATGGTGCAGCAGTTACATTCTGGCGCTTCAGGCGTCAGAACTGCTGGACTATTTAAGGTGGAACGGGAAAGTTAGCTAGCTAGCTACCGAGACATTACCATAATATTAGCAATTTTTTATGCTTGTTATGAAGAAAACAACCAAAATACACTGAAACGACGTTAAACTAAGATAAAACAGTGATTATCGTAATTTTTTAACAGAGAAAATTCTCACATTTGTGGATTTCTTTGGTCTTTTTTTCGGTTTTTCTTTTTTTCTCATAACTCTCTGTTTGGAGTATCTGAAAAACCTCCGTTTGGAGGGCCATGTAGCCCCTAACACTTCACCCTACCCCTTTATCTCAACTAAAATCAGGACACCCTACCCCTAGACATGAACGCGCAAAACAGAGGGCTAAGGGCTGAGTGGTAGGGGCGAGGGGTGAAATGGGATTGGGCCTAAGTGGTCCTGGATCCGGGAAAAACCTCTGGTGAGAAAACGCCAAGGTAGATTTCATCACATGGTTTCTGACGCACTGTAATAGCAGCAGCAGCCGTCCTCGAGTCTGGATTGAGTCTGGATTTTGTCTGGATTTTTTGTTTTGTACTGAACGATCAGCTTAATCCATCCTTGAATTCTTCTTTCAGACGTCAGCCCTATATGGGCCCCACCCAGCGCTCCAACTTCAGCGCTCCTTCTGCCCCCAAAACGAGCTCCGGAACACGAACCGCCTCAGGTAAACGACAACAACACATGAATAAACGATTCAGAACAGTACATTGAGATGTTTGTCCATCTGTTTTTAATATATCAAACAAACACTGGTGTTTTTGATGGTTTTCTCCTTCAGGCTTTGGCGGGACAAAGAGAAGATAAGTAGCACTGAAATACAGACCGTCCTCCTGCGACCACGACTCATCGTTTGCAGCTGAAATGTGAAGATATTTAAGGAAGATGCGGGTGGAGGGCTTTACTAAGCTGATTTTAGGGATTAGCGAGTTAACTTTCAGCACATACTGAGCTCAACTTTGGGTTCTAACAGTGATAATGGGTCAAAAGCCTAAGTCACACAGGAAGCTTACTCTTTCACACTGGACACGTGAGGCGAGAGTAGTTTCGGTTTGCGTTGCTTTTTACGTAATACAAGTGGCGGAAGCGTTTACTGCGCATTTGCTGCTTAGATAAACTTTGTGTAGATGACATTTGGGCAGAGCTGTTAAAGTCAACCTGAAATCAAAATGGACCTTTTTTTTTACCTTGTTAGTTCATGTCCTTAGTCACGTTAAGCACAGGCCACTGTCACATCATTCAAAAGACAAAATTCTTGTTTCTCGCTGATCTTTAATTGAAGTGTACACTGCAAAAAATGGTATCTTGTCAAGTAAAAATATCTTAAATATAGTCAGTAAAGCTGATATTTCTCCTGCTGAGATTGTTGTAAACTTAATTTAGGATTATTTTCCTTATTTCTAGACGTTATTTACTTGTTCTAACTAGTTTTAATAAGTACGTTTTTAATAAGCAGCACTGCTGTGTCTGATCCACCACCCAAATAGTACCTGCTCTATGAGGGTCCATGGGGGTCCTGACCACTGAAGAACAGGGTAAAAGGGGGCTAACAAAGTATGCAGAGAAACAGATGGACTACAGTCTGTAACTGTAGAACTACAACGTGCACCTATATAGTAAGTGGAGCTGATAAAATGGACAATGAGTGTAGAAACAAGGAGGTGGTCATAATGTTATGCCTGATCGGTGTATCTCACTATATTGGCAGGTCAATTTCAAGAAATGTGCTTGAAATCATCAAAACTATCTGCCACTGTAGTGAGATAATTGTACGTAATAAAATTACTTAAAACAAGTGAAAAGTGTCTAGAAATTGGCTAGATAATCTTATAATAAGTGCACAACCATCTCAAAATGTGGAATATTACACACATCGACCTGATTTTAGATCATTTCACTTAACAAGGTGCCCTTTTTTGCAGTGTAGTGACTTTTGCCACCTTTAAACACCGTCTGACACTCGGCTCCACCACTGTCGTCCAGCAGGCAGGGAACATTTATATTGACCAGTAATATTTTAGCATGTTTTCCTTCCTCCTCCCACCTCCCTGACCAATCGTCAGCGAGAACACCCGGCATCATTTCCGCTCCCGAATGCAGGAACGTGTCTGTCAGCAGACAACCTCGTCTATTCGCCTCACTTTAGTCTCTTTCTTTCGTTTTTAGACTGATTGTAAAATAATCGCTTGAGTTATTTCAGCTCATTTATGCTAAAAAAACCTGTTTTCATGTTAAAAGGAGTGAGGTGGGGTTAATAACCACACACACACACACACACACACCTCTTGGTCAAACATCAGGTAATTACACTCATACACAGGTTTATTTAACCTGACATCTTTTTTCCTGAAGCCTTTTCTCTTGTTTTTGCAGTGAAAGCGTAAGAGAAGCGAGGGCAGCATGAATGCTAACAGGCTACCTTGGTTAACCACTGTTTTGCCTTGTTTACTTCTTAGAAAGTTAAACAGTAAAAAAGTAAAAATTAAGCTTTCAGCAATTAATGACTCGTGTTTCAGAAACTACAGTAAATATGCATCAAAATTTTGTTGTAGTTCATTTTTGACTCTTGTAAATATTATTATAATATTATATATTATAATATTATAATATTTTTTTAATGCATTTATTATTGTTTTCTTTTGGCTTTTCTGTAAAACAGACAGATTCGGCTGACCAATAGAGTCTGACTCTACATACTTTACATGATCCAGTCAAACCCTGAAGAATTGAATCGCGTCCCACCCACGTTTATTTCCCAGCCGAGGGAAGAAAACTGTTCTGATTTTCGATTCAGGTTGACTTTAACTGTTTGAAAGAGGTCACCATGCTTTTCCACCATGCTACCTGTAGGTATATGATCATTATATTATTTCTGCACTAATTATATATCTGTCTCTGAGGAGGAAGAGGAAGAGGAGATGCATGTAGGTTCACCATATTAAGAGAGGCACATGGGGATTTGTCTAGATTTGTCGATTCGTTTATTAGCCTGGATTGTAGGCTAATATTAAAGCAGGAATACTTCTTTTACTGGTTTAGCCTAGAAACTGCTATCATGCAGTGCACAGCCAGCAGCAAAAATAGACTCGAAGCTTATTCCCACTGGCTACTGCCTCAGTGTCGTGTGCCACATGTTGCTGGTGTAAAAGGTGATAAATGTAGGAACGTATAGCTGGTTATCATGTATGGTTTAAGCTGGGTTTAAACTGAGTTTAATGCATTTAAATCACACTGATTTCATCTTCTGCGCTTTCACTAAACAATGTGAGGAAAAAACCAGACTCCATGAAAGTGAGGACAATTAGCAACAAACTAGCCAGCTAAGCATACTGATAGGAGGATAGAGTGATTACGTTAACATTCATGATGCATTTACTTTCTCAAAACAGTGAACTTTGTGGCCTGTGTTACAGATTTGACCAATCACTGTGTCTGTTGACTGATCTAAAATCTAAAACTAACAGTAGCTCATCTAAAAGTAGAGCTACTTTATTACTCGTGGAAATGACATCTGGCACTTTCCGTGCATAGAGTCCATTTTAGGCCTCGAAAAAAAATGAAATTGTACTTTTTTTCTTGGGTGTTTTGGACAAAATATTAATAAAAATGTGCGCTTAATCTTCTAAATATGTTATTTTCCACCTCAGACTGTTCCGACTATCCGCGACTATGAGCTGTTTTTCTGAGATGTACAGCATTTTTTGTAACCAATTTTTAGGTAGATGTAAAAATGGCATTTAAAAGCCTGTGTCAATGAAATTTTCTAGCAAGAAGTATAGTGATTTATGAAATACATGTAAAGCTTTTCAGTGAAATAATCCAAAGTTTACTTCTGTTTTCTATATTTCTTATATTGCTTTAAAACAGAAACAGAAAAAAAAAACAACATTTTTTCTTATAGTAGTAAGTTTAACTAATGACTCTTGTTACCAGATTGACACTTCTGGTAAAGTAACCTACTAAATGAAACATATTAATGACTGTTTTCATCAAAAATGATGGAATAACAGGGTTGAACACAGATCATATTCCCCTTTAAGCCGATATTAATGCAGTAAAAAATGTATATAACATAGAGCAAACGGGAGAGTTGACGTTTTCATTAAAACATTTGTTTCGAGCCGTTATTATTCAGTTAAAAAAATGGGAGACAGTTTTTGTGATCATTTAAATGCTAATTTTAATAGTTTCATTTTAAATTAAAGTACAGATCCTTTCACTTTTCACAGAAATAAACAACAGCACCCACTTTTGCTGCTTTATAAAAAAAAAAGGATATGGGACCTAAATTGAACTCTATTCATGAAAAGTGCCAACTATTGCTGAACTCAGCTTTCTGGGTTGGAATTCCCAGTTTATAGAGCATTGAATTCCCAAGTTACACTGCAAAAAAATTGTATCTTTTCAAGTGAAATGATCTTAAATCCAACTGATATATGTAAGACTTTTCATGCTCATATTGTTGTAAGCTTATTATAACACTAGTTTTATTTTTTCTAGACATTTTTTTAACTTGTTTTAAGTAATTTTAACTAGTAAAATTATCTTGTTATATTGGCAGATAGATAATTTTACTTGTTGTAAGAAATTTGCTTGAAACAAGGAAAATTATATGCCGCTATTTAGAGTAGGGAGATAGTTTACTCAGTAAAATGGCTTAAAATAAGTAAAAAAATGTCTAGAACTACTAAAAACCTTATAATATTCCTACAACCATCACAGAAATAGAAGCGTTAGATATATCAGCTGGATTTAGGATCATTTTACTTGACAGGTTATCATTTTTTGCAGTGTGTGATTGATAGTCAAGCGCAGGAACGTTTGGTCTGTGAATGAAGCCAAAGTTAACGTGATCTACACCAGCAGGATGTCGCTCACTGTCAGCCGTATTGGTTGGTTGAATTAGCCCTAACAGCTGAACCAGTTAGCTCGCTAACCTGCGACTCCAGCTTTGTTGTTCTCCATTTAAAGAAGAGTACGAAGGTGGCAGGAGATGAAAAGATGAGGACGTTTTATTATATTTCCACTGATGGAAGCCTTTCCGACACATTAAGAGTTTGCACTGTATCTGACGTGTGGCCTTTCCTGAATTATGTATCTTTTTATGAAAGCTGTTCTTGAAAGTTTTTTGCAGATTCCTCCTTTTGATTGATGTTGAAGTTGCTGTTATGTTATAGATGCTAGATTGGCTTAAGAACTGTGATGTTTATCTACCGCCTTAAGACCTTAATGGCACTGTTGGATTTGGAGTGGGAAGATCTATATCATCAACCGTCGCGCTAAAACCTCGTATTTCCATTTTGGTGTGTTTCACTTTTTTGCACGATTTGAAAACTCCAGTGATTCTTTGCCTTGTGTGGAAATTTTATGATGAATGGACAAACAGAATTGGTCCAAAATGACTTCGAAAAAAGTCTAGTTGCATTAACTTCAATTACAAGTCAAGGTAACACTTTACTGTAGGGTACTGTTCATGAGGCTACATGACATCTGTATAAGCTTGTTAAGACAACTGACATAACCCTACATAACTGTTTATAAATGCTTATTCCAGCAGGTGTCATTTGCTATAAAGGTGACATTTGTCAATTTTGATCAAAGTTAGCTAAAGTAGCCTTTATGACAGATGACGCCTAAGGGAATAAGCATTTATAAACATTTATGTAGGGTTATGTCAGTTGTCATGACAAGCTTATGTAAGTGTCATGTAGCCTTATGAACAGCACTCTACAGTAAAGTGTTACCCAAGTCAAGTTTTTTCCTTCTCCTGTAAAGTCGTATCGGAGATGCGAGGTTTGGTTCTGCGACGATATGCTTAAGGTCGGTTTCTACATTGGGAGAAATGCGTGGGCTGACTTGTTGCTTCAGTTTTGGCCTAAATTCGACACTTGAAGGGTTGCCAGTGATGTCATAAGTGTCACACAATCCGATTGGCTGTCTAGAAAAATAGCTAAAGTTCAGTGCGGTGTAATCGAGACCAGTATAAGGTGGAGCACATCTGTATTTTTGGATGGGAGCATGTTTTAATCACTGAATTTGTCCACTGTCTTCTCAACAAAGCCCATTAAAATCCTTATACAATGTATCCAGTGTTTACAAGAGACAAAACAACTGACTGCTTTACCACAGAGACCATAATTACTTAATATAGTGTAAATATCTCTGCGTAAGCCGACACATTTCTCCCAAAACAGACTTTAAATAGTGATTGTTATCAGAGATTTCCGCTCAGATGCATTTGAAATTATGTAATTTAACTTTTTTAGCGAGGCGATGAGTACGTTTATTTTTCTTGTGGTGTTATTTTGACTGTGTTAATGACTTGATATATTTAAAAATATAAATTTTGATGGCTCTGCAGTTGTTTCTTCTTTCTTATCATTTGAGGATGTTTACTGATTGGTGTAAATAGGCCTGATGGGGTGACTGGGTAGCTTCTTTTTTAGGCCTTCCACCATCCGACATTTGGCCAGCAATATGTTTGGCAGTGGTGTACATGTCACGTATTTACATTATATGTGACTTGCTTCCTTACGTGTCTGTATGACCAAATATTCATCATAAAAATAAGGATAAATACTATATTACATCTCATGTAAAACGACAGTGAGACTGTATAAACGTTTGCTTGAGAACTTAAGCCAGAAAATCTTATTCTATGATTGTTCAGTGGTTTATAAGTGTGGAAATACAAACTACATTTCACATTTATTGGGAAAAATGCAGTTATTAAAAGGATAAAACCTAATTTCTCTTAAGAATTCAAAACGGGCTGCATGTGCACATGTGCAAATATTGAAGTAGTATGTTTTAATGTGAAAGTTATTCCTGTACGTGCACTTATGTATCATGTATGGACCAACATAACAACATAGAACCAAAAGTATCTGGACAGCTTTTCCTCTTAGTGAACTCGGCTACGCGCTCATCGCTGACACAGCTGGTATAATCTCACAGAAAAGCGCTGACCAATAGAATGAGATGCTCTGAAGCAGCCTTAGATCACATGAGCCACCATGGGGCGCTCAAGGTCACCAGGCTGGGCGCCAAGCATGGGCTAGAGGGGTGTAAAGCCCCCCAGCATCGGGCTGTGATCTACTGGCACCGGCACGTCAGTGTTACTGCAGAGCTGAGAATGATCCACCACCCAAATAGTACCTGCTCTGTGAGGGTCCATGGGGGTCCTGACCACTGAAGAACAGGGTAACAAAGCATGCAGAGAAACAGGTGGACTACAGTCAGTGGAGCTGATAAAATGGGCAGTGAGTGTAGGTGGTTTTAATGAAGCGCAGAGTCATATATGAAGGTAAAAACACAGTTGGCCCGTACGGGGATCGAACCCGCGACCTTGGCGTTATTAGCACCACGCTCTAACCAACTGAGCTAACCGGCCACGAGCACGGATTTCAACATAACAGGTCTAGACCATAGAACCACCGCTCAAAGGAACGGTACTATGCATATAGCCGGTAATGAAGGGTAACGTTACGCTATAACATATGTTGTGTTTTGGATGCTGGTATGCTGGTCAACCAGTATGACCATGCTGGGGTGACTAGCTAAACCAGCAGGGAAGCGGGGAAGTTGTGGTACTGGATTAACATTAAAACACAATAACCCTGATAAAAAAAATCTCTGTTTTAATGGTGTTTTTTTCAGCAGAGGAAACATTTGTTGAGTTACTGCGCTAGTCTGACGATCCGCGCATGCTCAGTAGAGCCGCCCGCTGAGCAGGACAGATTGCTAGAACAGCCGGCAGATGGCGCTGCGGATCTTCGGGCGACACTAAGCGCTTCATGTCCAGAAGAAGCGCGACGTAAACAAAGCGAGCTACGAGTATGAACTGAATTTTTATCTTTCTTTGTCGTTTTAAGGGAGAATAAGTGGATCATTCCAGACAGTATTTCACCACTAAGAGCTTCACGTTTAACCGCGCTTCTCAGCTTCGCTGTTGATTCCGTATTTTTGGTGTTTTCGTTGATAAACTGTCTGATATCAGTCAGGTGGGTCTGTTATCTGTCAGACTGGGTGTTTAAACTCCTTTTTCTCCCAGTTTTCAGTGGTTTTAGCGGATATTCTGGTCTTATGGATCCTCCCGAGTCTAACGGAGCGGTCAGTTCGTGTTCTGACCCGGCCGACCCGCTGACGAAGCCCCGAACTGAGCCTTTACCTCCGGCTGTGTTAGCGAGGATCGAGCGGAACCGACAGAGGGCGCTGCTGCTGAGACAAGCGCGCCTCGCCCGCGCAGCGCCGTCTGCTGGAGACGGTGAGTAACAGCCGGCTCCCCAAACCAACCCCGCCATAGAAATACACGGGAGTCTTACTGCAACATGCAGAATCACTGAGGGTCAATTATTCGAGCGTGACTCTGTAGAATAACACTGAGCCACTAAAGTGGTTCTTCAGGGTTCTTCTAAAGTGGTTCTTCAGATTGGACCCAGATAACAGACAGTTTCGGGCCAATTCTGGCTTTCCTGTGTGAGTGTCAATTGACTACTTGGAAAATGCTGGGCATGCGGGCCAGAACAGGGCCAGATCCTGGACAGCTTCATATGGTGTTGCCTCGTGTCTACATTCGTGGGACGATTCTGGCGTGAATGCTGTGAACCAACAATATAGTTGGGCCAGATTTGGGCCATATCCTTTAGTTCTACTCTATTTACAGTGCGTGGGCCAGATCTGGGCCAAGGACCCAGACGTATACTGGGCCAGAACAAACCAAGGATGTGGCCCACCAGTGGGCTGGACAGACTTTGCTAACTGGGGAGAGTGTGTTGTATATTCTTACACTGTCAAGGTTGTTACAGTACAAGAACCCTTTTTGGTGCTATATAGAACACTACACATTCTCCATCAGTCTGGAGAACTATCTGACCACACTAAAGAACCATTTAAGCATGAAATGGGTCTATACTGCACTAATGGTTCTAAATAGAACCATTGCCTTTACTAAAGAACCCTTGAGGAACCATCTTTTTAAGAGTGTATTCACAAGACAGCAGTGGTGGACAGTAACTAAGTAAATGTAATTCGTTACTGTACTTAAGTAGTTTTTTGCGTATCTGTACTTTACTGAAGTTTTTCCATTTTGGGTGACTTTTTACTTTCACTCCACTACATTATGAGAAATCTGTCGTTCCTTTTGGTTTATGTGTGTATAAAAACGCAACATCAAAATGAACGAAGTGTGAAGGAGGAACACCAATCAGGTCACAGCGCTCACTTTGTTTTGAGCTTGTTTTGACCTGTTGGTCATACAGACTCAGTGCAGCACACGATTCAACATCAGTGCAGCAGTGTAAAATTCTGGGAGAGTCTATTCAACATAAATGATGAACTAACCTAACTTTGTGTAAACAGACCACAATATAGAAATATGTACACATATGCAGTGACTGACGTGTCTTTTTTCTGAATTTATACAAACACTATTTCATTTTATAGTAAATTAGTTTAGGCTAGTTTATGTTTATGAACAGAGACCTACAGATGCAGTTTAGTAAAGGAAACTCATTTAAAGTTTTTATTAAACTTAAACTTGTAACTAAGTTGCAAATAAATCTTAAACTGAAACTTTGCTTGTTTGTAAAAAGTGATTTCAGAGCCACTCAGTTCTACCTGATGGAAACTGTTTGCCTTCAGTGTTTTGTGCTTATGATAATTTTAATAGACATCAGCGTCACTAATTAATGACATTCTATTAAAAGACTGGTTTACCAAGAGAGACACTGGAGTATTTTCACCTAAAATGAGTTAATGAAGTGAGTCTTGTTACATGATAATAGACCATTAAAGTCATAATTAATCTTTTAGTACTTTTACTTTCGATACTTAAGTACATTTGAAGGCAAATACTTTTGTACTTTTACTCAAGTGGAGGTCTAAATGGAGGAACTTCTACTTTTACTGGAGTAATATTTTACCTTGGGTATCTCTACTTTAACTCAAGTACATGATTAGACAACTCAGTGAAGCCTGTATGTGTTCCACAGGTGCAACCGCAGCCAAAGTGATGAAAACCATCGACTCTGGCGCTGGATTCTTCATCGAGGAAGAGGAGGAGGACAGTGAGCAGAGGACCCTGAAGGTGGTGCATAAACCGGGTAATCAGAAAGTCGTCTTTTATTGGCTGACCTACAGCAAGTGGCTCATTCTATGGCCAGCTAGAGTTTTTCAGTGACGTAAACATCCTTCAGTGATTACATCGACAACGTGGTGGCCATTTTCTCCTGTTTGCCACAAATGTACCGAGACACGTTTGGTGTCTGGAATTCGCTTCTGAAAGTTTTAGTACTGGAGCTACGAGGCTAATCTGGCAGTTAGCATGGTGCTAACTGCTGAATCATTCAGTAATCTCGAATAGACTTGATTATGAGGTTTCTGACGCTGTACGACACACTGTTACCTATAAACATGGACTAAAGTTCGTTAGCGTAAAGCTAAAGCAGTTCCAGCCACCTGAGGCCTGATTTTAGTCCATGTTTATAGATAACAGTGAGTCAAAACCCACATAATCAAGTCTATTAGAGACACTGAACATCTCCACACGCTTTGAGTCGAGTGTGTGATGATTTAGCATTTAACACCTTGCTAATTCTTTTGGTTTAAATAGCTTCCTTTACTTCTAAGCGACTTTGGCTGTGCTAATTTAGCTGGCAAGTAGCTAAAGAAGCTAAC